TTCGCCGTCCCGACCGGGCTGAGGGCCAGGCCGAGCTGGAGGCGCCCGCGGCGCTGCGAGCCGCAGAGGGCAAAGCGCGGGCGCACTGCTTAACGGGACTTGCTGTTTTCTTTCGGTTCCCAATTTAATTCCTAAACCAGTTGGTGCTACCAGACGCTTTTGAAAGTAGCATACTTTAGAGTTGTAGAACTTGATTAACTTCATGCCTTACACAACGTACTTTTGCGGTAATTAGGGTTTGGGTGAATAAACTCTTTAGAAAAAGTCAAACTTCTTTTGTGGTGAAAATAACACTGGGGCAAATGTAATGCTGTGACAACTATTCCATGGATATTGCATTTAACATTAAATGCAAAAAAACCTGAGGAAGGGTGGTTTGATGAGTACATAGTTAGAGGATAGGAAGATTTCAGTGTGTTTTTTCATGTACGGTGTGGCTCGGCTTTAAGCAAGTTGCTTTGCTTGTTTGTGGTTTTGTAAAGCTAAATTGATGTGGGTTGCTGTGGGGCAGCTTGAGAATTAGGAGAAGTATTTGTAATAAATAATTTTAGTACTTTTAAGTTCTGTTTAAATACGAAATGCTGGGTATGTAATACAGGGGTACATATGGTTTTGTTAGCCAATGGAAAAACAATGAATATGCTGTTTAGTGCTTCCCACTGAGTTCACTTGCACCTATTTTGTATTTACTGGTGGGCTGTTCTTGGAAAACCTACCTCCTAGCTTCTCTTTCTCAGAGAGTATGCTGAAAGTTTCAGGGAGTTATTCCATATGGGCAGCAATGCATTTCTGGGACTCTGTAGGTAGTGCCATGGGCTCTAGCAGTGCCTTCCTTGGGCTGCCCCACCTTTGCTGCAGGTCGTGGGAATATTCCTGTACTGAACAGGCATTATTAAGGCAATGTCTCATATACATAATTAAGCTTAACATAAGTAGTGCAGGTTCAGTCATCTGGCGGTAGTGGAATTCATTACACCATGTTTTTCTCTGTGTCTTACCTTAAAAATTATTTAAATCATTCTTTTTTCTCTTTAGCAGGTGGGAAGAATGAAAGGAAGGGGGGATGAAAGAATGTTGAACCTTTTTGTTTGGCTGTATGATGGAAGGAAACAGGACAGAGAACCTCTGCAATAGATCGCTCGGATGGCTGCAGCGGCGAGAGAATGATGCTAAGCCATGGCTCTGGAAACTTTCTGATTGCTTTTCTGCTGCTGAAAAGTCTGTGTCTTGCAGTGAGAAAACGGTAATTGGTTGCTTTACTACAAGCATAGTTGATATCCTAGTACAGAGTGGTACAGCTCCCTGCATTGGTACTGCTGACTCAAGCAGGTGAGTGAGGGGGGAGAAAGAGGAGTCAGCAGTTGGCACGGTACGTGCAAGATCTACCTGAGAATTCCTGGTGTGAGCTGTGCTCGCGGCTCTCCTGCCACTCGCGGTGTTGAGCTGTGCTCGCGGCTCTCCTGCCACTTGTGGTGTTGAGCTGTGCTCGCAGCTCTCCTGCCACTCGTGGTGTTGACCTGTGCTCGCGGCTCTCCCGC